AAACCCTAAACTCTAAACCCAAGACCTCTTTGATGGGTTTCGGCCGCTCTCGGTCTGGTTGTCAGTCTCCGGAGTTTCCGACATGACGGTGCCTTGCCTGGTGTGATACGGGCTCTGAAGGGTTTTGCAGAGGGTTTGTGAGGGGATGAGGGTCTGCATAGCGTTTAGGACTTAGGATGTGTAGGTTTTAGGATTCACGAGATGCCTAAGCCCCAGGTGCATTAGCAAAAGCCCTAGACTTGACCCTAGGGTGCTAAACGTCCTAAGCCTACCGGTGAGCAAGGCTTGGAGACTTCTTCATGTCCTGAGACCGGTAAGCTCAGGTCTGCTTGCTGCATTGAGATCCACAAGAGGCTGCACATGTTCGAGACAGGCGGGTACCGCTTCCTGAAACCCGAAATCCTTTTGGCTGGACCGGCTGATTTCTGGTGCTATCCAGATCCTCTCAGTTTTGACTTCCGGCTAAAGAATAGAGATGCGGGTGTGGTGGTGGTGATGGTGGTGGTCGTCGTTTTTGGTCTTGGGTGGTAGTTGGCCAGCCGTGGTGCTGGTGGCAGTGGTTGTGGTGTGTGGTGTTGTGTTACTGTTGCGAATGCTGTTGGTTTTTGTTGGCGTGTTAGGTTTTCTGACCTGGCGTTCCAGTCGTTTTTTGATGAATGTGTGGGGCGGTGTCAGCACTCATGTGAGCTGATCGTCTCTCTGAAGTGTGTCTGTTGGTTTGAGTGCTGCCGTATTTATGATTTCTCTGTTGATTAATGTTGACGTCGTTTTCGTATCTGTCGTGTGAATATGAGCACGCATATGACTGCTAATTTTTTCATCGTCACAGTTGGGTTTCCACCTAAACCACGGTCAGTGGTGATGATCATCACATTGCTGGTTTTTGCGACCGGAGATGTAGCATTTTCAATACGAGGATGGTGACGTCATGCAGGAGGAGAGATCAGGCTGGCGATCGCAACAGACACGGTAATAGTTCTATCCTCGTCGCTGAGTCCAAGCCACCGTGATAGTAATTCGCAGGAAAATTGATCCTAATGGTAATGATGAGAATCATCCTCCTGATGATTCCGATGTTGGTCACGCTGGCGATGCTGGTTTTAGTGGTGAAAAGGGTGATGATGTCTACTGCTTATCAAGAGAAGCTCTTCTTCTTACAGTATTCATCGTATGCCTGTTTCTTCCTGTCAGAGTGGTCAAATCAGTGGTTAGCTTTCGCTCCTGCTAGCTTTATTGCATTCTTCCGTTGTTGTAGCTGTCACTCTTTGTGTTGTTGACCGAGGGTAGAGTTGTGCAATCTGTTCTTGCTTCCCTGGGCCAGGTGTTGATGATGTGCGGCTGTGCCTGCACATCGGTGTCGGCTGTGGTGAGATTAGCATCCTGCAGGTGGCCTTAGCGTGTAGTATAGGGCGTGTGGGTTTGGGGGTTTTAGTGGTTTAGAGGCTCCTTCTACTTGGCGGATCAGGCGGAGGTGTCGAACAGACTGGTAGCAGTGCTGCGGTGAAGGCAACTGCACAGACAGTGTACTCGTGGCTTCACTTACATCGTCCTACCGATCCTGCAAGTGTTCCTGACACTTGAAGCCCAAACACAAGATTCCGAAGTCTTACGACTTCAGCCCGCGGGCCGAATCCTAAAGCCCTTCAGGCCGTCTACTGCACTCTAAGGTTGGACCCATGGGCCCCTAACATGGGCCCTTAGGGGATTCCAGGGTCCCTTACGGGTATATATAGGGTATATAGTAGGTATATTAGGGTCCCAGGATCAAGGGCCCATACTACAGGCCCATGGGTTCTACCTTAGAACTACTTCCTCCTCCGACTTTCCGCAGGTGGGCGGCATCGTTCCACCGGAGACTCACATCCCGAGGCCGGAAGACGTACATTTTTTGGGGCCTCTCTCTACGCCTTTGTTACAGCCTTTGGAAGGGCTTTGTGAAGGAGTTTTGGGTTTAGGGTTTCTATGAACTTTTGGACTTTTGGGATCATAATCTTCTCTTAGTAGTCAGCACGTAACTTTGACCCTTCTCTGGGGTAGTACAATGTCGCGCACATAGTCACAATTAAATTTTCCTTTTGTTGATTTTAGGCAACTGGACAGAAGGAAGGCTTCCTGTCGAAACAACCTTTACGGGTTGAGAGTTAGGGTTCACAGTGTGGGGCTCAAGGTTTCGAGTTCAGGGCTTAGGGTGGCCTATGGTTTGGGATTCCTGTCCCGGCACTGGTGCTGCTGAGTGTACCTTTTTTTTCGCTCTCATCGTGACTGGTCCAGGTGGCCCCTCCACCGAAACCCCGAAGCCCTGAACCTAAGAAGACGCAAAACCCGAAGCCCTAAACCCTAAACCCAAAGCGCCAAACCCTAACCCTAACCAAAGCCCCCGCGCTCATCCCCAATGTCCCAGTCTTGAAATGTGCAAGGAGAGGGTACCGCAAAGCCAGTGCGGTTTAGGGTTTACGGCTTAATGTAGGGTCCTTAATGATCAGAAGACGGTTTGGGGTGGTACATACTAGTATATTTTTATAGCAAGGAACCCTAAGGAATAGCATTCCCAACCCTGTATTATAGAACCCTTCTTGTAGAATCCTTATAGAAGCCTGTGAAAGGAACCCTTAGTAAGCCCCAAATGTGCCGAAGCCAGGATAGAGTATCTGATCTCCGGAGCCCCGCTCGAGCAGATCTCCATTGTGCGAATCTCAGCTGGACGGTGAAGCCACGAGGTTTAAACAAAATACGGTTTAGGGTTTCCAAGTATTACAGGCTGTCTTAATAATTTGAACAGGGTTCTGAGGCATCTGATCGCAGAGTTGGGTGTGTTCTGTGGTTGTGCATGCCTACTCAGGACAGGTGTTCGTTAGCTGTTGGAGCAATGAACTTCAGCAGAACAGATGTGCAGGATCGTTGGGTTCAACTGTCTCGGAATGGCCAGCTAGAGCCTGGAACATACTTGGGAAGGTGCATGTGGGCACAGCTTCGCAGCCCCTTTGCTCGATGCCCTTGCAGCAGCGCGATCTCCGCCAGGCCGCGTGGATGTCGGACGCTAAAGCAGCTCCGGTCAGCGTGGGCTCCTCCTGGAAGCCCTACGAGGGCTGCCGCGCGGGTTGCCCTTTGCTGAATTTGCTTCCAGGGGCGAAGCTGGCGGACCCCGTTGCCGAGCTCTGGTGGGCCGCACGCTGGCGTGCCGCCTGGCCCCTTCACCGCCGTGTGCCTGGGACTCACTGGACCTTCGGAGAGGCGATGTTTCTGCCCGTCATCGTCTTCGCTGCTACGATGTTCGGTGCCAGGATGTGGGGCGACGTGGAGCGCAGCGGATACCCAGCCACATTCCTAGGAGCTTTGACCTACGCGACAGCCTGCCGCAACTCGATCCTGACACTGCTGACTGGGGTTCCCTTCGAGCGGGCCCTCTTCTACCACAAGTGCATCGCGGTAGTGGCAATCTTTGCGGCTTGCTACCACTCCTATGTCGCACTTAGGTTTCCGGTAGAGGTGGGCCATGCGGCCATCGGCACGGAGGAGTTCACGTTGAGCGTGCTGGGTGAGGGCAGGAACTTCAGTGGTGTCATGATATGTGCATGTTGGGTATCCGCGACTCTGGTGGCATTGGTCTGGATCAGGCGCTACCTTTTCGAGGTCTTCAACCGCTTGCACATCGTCGCGGCCATCGTCGGCTTGGTCTTTGCGGCTCAACACGGCGCCACGACGACTTTGGCGGGTGGAGGCTTCTGGGTCTTGGACAAGATCCTCTCGCTTCTCAGCTTGCTGGGGAGAGTGAACAAGGCTCAAACTTACAAGGCGATGGCTCGCGTGCTTCCCTCAGATGTGGTAGAGCGGCTTCAAGTACAAAGGGGGCCAATGGTGCAACGGGTGCCGGGGCTGGGGCTGCAGTGGCACCCTTTCAGTCTCAGCTCAAGCCCGCAAGAGGAGGTGCCGGGCCCGGGCCCAAACGCGCACCTTTTTACGGACGAGTCTGGTTTTTTGGGGATCCGACCCAGAGAGGGAACCTTACAAGAGCCTTTCAGGTCTTCCACATCCGTGCTCTGGGAGGCTGGACAAAAAGCCTTCTCCGCAGCTTGAAAGAGACGGAAGCCAGCGGCTCCGCAGTGCGTCTTCCGATCTATGTCGACGGCCCCTTTGGTTCCGTGGGCCTGGACGTTGATGGGCCCTCCTACAAGTCCTTCCTGCTCGTTGGTGGTGGCATTGGCGTCCCCTGCGGAGCATTTGGGGTGAGTTGCTGGACCAGGGTGCCCGCGGCCGCACTCTCAACAAGCTTCGCCTCCTGTGGTCAGTGTCAGACTCCGCGATGCTGGAGGGGCTGAGTGTCAGAGGGCCAAAGCCCGGAGAGCCCTCGGACGCCAAGGTGGAGATCTGACACGGGAAGCAGCCCTCGAGGAGCCACGGCGAGCGATCGGCGAGGTGCATCGGGTTCTGGGGAAACGGCACCCGATTTCCAGGAGTCCTTTGAGATGCGACACTGCGAGAAGGCCTCGGAGACGTGGCGGTGCTTGTTTGTGGTCCCAGTCTGGTGGAGGCCACACAGCAGGCGTGTCTGAAGCACTCTCATGGCGGCATCTTTTTCGACTTCCATTCTGAGATTTTTGAGTTTTGAGTCGGGGGGGAGAGCAGCTGGTCTCCGCTGCTCCTGCCACACCGGCGGTTCTGCACGCTAGCTGTTGTGCCAACGGCGTCGGATCACTGCAGAACTGCAGGCGGACGCCAGCCACCCTGTATAGCTTGTCATTGAACTGAGATGGGTTCACTCGCCGCTCGGTTCTGGCCGATTTTGATGGGGGACCCTTTCGTGGCCCCAAGTGGCAAAGACCTAGGCACCCAGGTCCTTGAAGGCGGACGCGCGAAGCGGCGCAGGATGGGCGAAGCTCGTCCTGCGCAGCCCAAGGCCCTGGCAGTTGAGCTGAAAGAAGTCCCGAAGGAGCTGTGCCCCAAACGCGCACCCGCCTTGGCTTAGCGTCGAGCTTGTGGCCTCTAGTTTAGGGCTTGAAAATCGGAAATCCGACAGTCCTAAACGCAAAGCCTGAGACACGAAATGCCGAAGCCGGTTTACGGTTTCGGCTTAGGATTCTGTTACATCTGAGTTGGGGGGGATATCATATTCTCGCTGTTGCATTAGGATTTGATGGGGTTTTGGCACACTAAATCTCGAAGCAGAAGCCTGGAACCGAAATGAGTCTTTAGCCGCGTTGGGGCCCTGAGCCATAACCCTAGACCGTGATTGGGTTCGAGTGGGCTTCGAAAAAGCACACTTGGTTCGTCTGGCTCTTTCCTGGTCCTGCCTACCTTAGCTACTTGTCGGGTCGTCGGAGCCAGTCGGGTTCGAAAGTGCACCAAACTACTGAGATCCCGATCTTGAACCCTTTTTGCGTACTTATTCAGCATCGGAATCAGTAGATAAGCTACAATGATGGCCCCAGACCTTTTCAGGCTTATGCGCAAGAGATGCTGCCAAAGCCATCGAAGACTTAAAAGCTGTAAACTCCAAGGCAAAAGCCCCCACTGCGACAACTCCGACAGCTTGAAGTGCTAAACTCAATTTGGGACACAGGGTTGTGCCGAAGATGCGGGCCAAGTTCGGGAAACCCCATGAACCCCAAGCTCCCCCAAAGCACCTAAAGCATCCCACACAAGCTCAAGTCGAACAAAGCACAAAGTCTTGAGACCCGAAAGAGCCTTAAACTGTAAACCCTAAACCCTAAACCCTAAACCTTAACACTGAACCTTAAACCCTAAACCTTAAACCCTAAAACCTAAACTCAAAAACCCAAAACCCAAAACCCCAAGCCCACAAACCCCAAACCCAAAAGACCCAAAATCAGAATCTGCAGGCGGAGCCCCTGGCCAAGAACGGCGAGACGTGTCTGAGCCCCCAGGCGACCCCCGCTCTCAGCTTTCGCGGAGGTTTTGGGCTTTGGGGTTTTAGGGTTTAGGGTTTAGGGTTCTTGAATTTTAGGGTTTAGGGTATTAGGGTTTTAGGGTTTAGTGGGTTCAGGGTTTTAGGGTTTAGGGTTAGGGTTGTAGGGTTTAGGGTTAGGGTTTTAGGGTTCAGGGTTGAGGGCTGAGGGTTCAGGGTTCAGGGTTTAGGGCTTAGGGTTTAGGGTTTAGGCTCTGTGCTTTGAGCTGACGTTTTGTTTCGCCTCCAGGGTTCGAAGAAGCCTTTAGAAAAACGAAAAAACCCTAAACCCTAAACCCTAAACCCTAAACCTTAAGAGGAAGTAAGGAGCCTTTACAAACATATTCAAAGAGATGCCATCCCGATGGCTTTTTTGGGTCGAAGCTCCCAGGGTCCCAGGGCCGCTTCCGCGCCAGGCCTGGGAGTTGGTGAAGGACTGCGTCATCGAAGGCCGCCCTCTGGAGGCCCCCAGCCTCTTCCGGAGCCTTTCGAGTTTAGGGTTTAGGGTTTAAGGTTTAGGGTTTAGGGTTTAGGGTTGATGATGATTTTCATTAGTATTGCTATTACGACTCCGTGTATGATTGCTATAGTAATGTCGTGTATTGTAGCCGCGACCTGTTTTGTAATGTTTATAGGGTCTTATCTGGTTTTGAAGGGGTTTGGGGGAAGGAAGGGGTTTGCTTAGTTTTTCCAGGGCGTAGGGGTTTGACAAATGGGGTTGCAAAAACTTAGATGGCATCTGGTTTAACGGAAGTTTTTTTGTTCAATGAGGTCTTTTGAGATTCCGGACAGCAGCTGAAAAGGGTGTGAAGAGGGAAAATGAAGTTAGGATTTTATGTTTGCTTCTGGGTGTGGGTTTCGAAGGGTTTTTTTCTGGCGCTCTGTAAAGTCCCAACCATAACCGAAGCCCTGATCGGGCTCCAGGTTCGATGTGTGAGGGGTGAAGCCTAAGCCCCTAAATTCGAAACCACCTGAAAGCAGAGATTCCAGAACCCTAGGATCCCCCAAAATCCTAAACCCCAAGCCCTCA